CTCGTGAGCTCTCCTGCTTTGTGCCCCAAATAAGCTTCAGGCAGAGCAGGCACCTCTTCCTCCAAAACCGCACCACAACCTGCTATGTCCTGCACCTTCCTTCTGCTAAAGGGACGTGGTTGGGGAGCAGGGAGACTAGCGCATAAGAAAGAGTCCAAATAACGGGCAAAACAGGATTCATGAAATAAGCAATTGGTGACAGAATGCCATGCAGCCATCTTGTATGCTCTTGTACTTAGAGGATTTTTACAGGCATGGCAAATCTCCCAAAATGCTGTGTGAGCCCCATTCGGGGAGAGAGGAGCATCATGTGCGTGCAGGGGGAAACATCTGGGAAAATGGGACTAGATCCTCTAAAATGTTGCTGGGGTGGTGGTGGCTGTGGGAGGTGTGAAATAATTGGCGATTTCAACTAGGTTTTTTTTTTTCTGTATTTTCTGCTTCTTGCAAAGGTCAGTCATGGCTCTGACGATCAGAAAAAAAAAAATACCCATATTATTAAGAGAAATGTTTACCAGGGGGCAGTCCCCTCTGCGTGTGCTCCCCAGTGGAGAATGCGGGCTCTGTGCTGGGAAGAGGGAGGAGTCCGCAGCCATGGTGGTTGGAGCGCGCTGTGGCCAGCAGAGGGCGCCGGCTGCACGCGGCACAGCCTGTAGCTGCTTTTTTTTTTTTTAGGTGCCCTCTAGGGACATTTGGCAGGTAATGGGTTGGAGGTTACAGGGCCAGCACGTGGCCTGGATGCTTAAAGCATCTCTAAAAAATAAGCCAGTGTCTCCCCAACCTTCCCAGCGTATGGTAGCCCTGACAGACCGCCGAGCCACCCAACTACCCCGTTCCCAGGTATTTTTAGTAATTGTTCCATCTGGCCCCGCAAATCACGTGTCTAAAAACAGCTTCTGTCGTCTTGCTTTACCCTCAGATGCTTCTGACGAGCAGAACTCGCAGTCTTCCGTGGAAAACGCCGTGAACAGCTCAGAGAAAGCCGAGCGGCCGCCATCTGGAGAAGCGGCTCTATCGGCTGAGACACCCTCCATCTCTCAGGTACCCCGAGCGAGGCCTCAGAGGGGCAGCCCGGTCGGCCGGGTGCCCGTTAGGGTGCCGGGGGTGCGTTGAAAGGTGTTTTGTTATTTTGTTTTCTCGTTGGACGATCGGAACTTCCGTGCCTTCGTGGAGCAGGTTGTGTGAGCGCCCCGCTGTGTCCCGCCCTGGGCGCCGGGGCTGCGGTGAAGGGCGAGACACGGGCAGGTGTAGGAAGAGGCAGGGTCCTCAGCTTCGTCACTTTGTTCCCACAAAAGCAGTGCCAGCTCTCAGTGAGCCAGTCAACTGCCTTTAGCGCTGGGGAGATGAGTCTTCAGAATCCTCAGCGCTGGATAAAATAATCTTTGAAAATATTTTGCAACTGACCATGCCCCCCAAGCCCAGACTCCTCTCTGGGTCATCACGGTTGGTCAGAATCTGGTCTGAATCGGTGCAGAAGCAGGTGGCCCGGGGGATAGGAGCAAACGTCCCGGGTGCGAGTCCCAGCTTTGTCAGTTAGCACACACAGACGTCGGCTTCAGTGTCTCCAGCTGCCAAAATGGGGTCGCAGAGCTGCCTTGGGGCTGGGGTTTGATGAGATGAGAGAACGTGGGTAACACACAGTGGAGCTGGACACAAGATGCCTCCGTGTTGCCTCGGCGACCGTGACGACTCTCACTGTCAACCCTCTGTGCTCATTTAAAGGAAGGGGGACTCAGTGGTATCCCAGCGTCAGCGGATAAAACCGTTGCCACGGTGCTGAATAGTTTCCGGCACCTGGGAGCCGCAGAAACGAGGGAAAGGGCAGGACCTGGTCTGCATGGTGTGCAGCCTTGAACCAGGCTTCCCAGGGGACGCTCCTCTCAGACTCGAGCATCTACGCACCCTTGGGTCTGCACCTCCCCTTCGTGCTATAGGACACCCTCCAAATGCCCAGAGGCCTAGAGGGAGTGTGGATGGAAGATGTTTGCAGTGGCAGGAAGTTTGTCGAAAGGGATCAATTTAAATAAATCTAGGGTCGTGTATAAAACAGTCTGGCATACAGTTGTTAAAAAGGGCACCGCCCTAGCCAGTTTGGCTCAGTGGATAGAGCGTCTCTCTGTGGACTGGAGGTCCCGGGTTCAATTCCGGTCAAGGGCACATGCCTGGGTTGCGGGCTCGATCCCCAATAGGGGGCGTGCAGGAGGCAGCCAGTCAATGATTCTTTCTCATCATTGATGTTTCTCTCTCTCTCTCCCCCTCTCCCTTCCTCTCTGAAATCAATAAAAATATATTTTAAAAAAATAAGTAAAAATAAAAAGGGCACAGTTGAGGCCAGCCAGCGTGGCTTGGTGTTTAAGCATCGACCCATGAACCAGGATCTCAGGGTTCGATACCAGTTGGGGTACATGCCTGGGTCGTGGGCTGGATCCCCAGTGGAGGGCGTGCAGGGGGCAGCCGATCAATGATTCATCATTGATGTTTCTCTCTCTCCCTCTTCCTTCCTCTATCTGAAGCCTGAGGGCTGAAGGGTCCCGGGTTCGATTCCGGTCAAGGGCATGTACCTTGGTTGCAGGCTCCTCCCCGGCCTGGGCCCTAAAAACCAATGGAAAAATATCCTCGGGTGAAGATTTTAAAAAAATTAAAAAGGCAGGGTGGGGGTGGCGGCGGGGGGGGGCAGGCACGATTGACCCAGGTACAGAGGAAGAATGAAGAAATATTCTCACCATGTGAACCGAGAAAAGCAGGTCACAGGGTCTCAGGCCTAGCATGAGCCCACTGATGAAAAATCACCTTCAAAGCCTCTTGTATAGTTGGTGAAACCACAGTGTCGGCCGGGGTCTGCTGACCCCTTGAACTCAGTGGAGGGAAGGTCAGTTTGAAACACAGACCCACACTCTGGGGGTTGAGGGGGAGCATCGAGTGCTGGGGCCTGCCCCCTACTCCCCCGACGTCTGAACAGTCCAGGGGTCTTTCATGTCACCCCCACTCCCATCCCCAGGGGCCCAGTCCTGAACTGGGGCCTCCTCCGCCGTTTCCGTGCCCACACGGACACGCATCCTCGCCCGCAGGGCTGCCAGGCTTGCGAGCAGGACGGAGGAAGCGTTGCAGTGAAGCAAACAGCTTGATCTGGAAGTTTAGCCGTTACTGTTTTATTTTTATTCTTTTAAATGTAGTTTTATTGATTTCAGAGAGGAAGGGAGAGAGCGATAGAAACATCGAGGGTGAGAAAGAATCACTGGTCGGCTGCCTCCTAAACGCCCCCTCCTGGGGATCGAGCCTGCAACCTGGTCATGTGCCCTGACCGGGAATGGAACCATTACCTCTGGCTCCTAAGGTCGATGCTCAACCGCTGGGCCTCATTGGCTGGGCTGACTTCTGTTTTGAGAGGAGCTCCTAGGCTGTGTAGGAGGCTGTCATTCGGGCGAGAGCTGGTGGCAGCTCAGGTGTGGACAGGGCGCTAGGCAGAGGGAGAGGCGGGCGGGCTCAAGGGTCTTTGGAGATAGAGTTGATGGGACTTGCTGTTAGTCTGGGTGTGGGAGTGTGGAGAGAAAGGGGGGGACTCCCGGGCATCATCCCCCTTTATTCCAGGAAGATGTCAGCACCCCCAACAGGTAGGGGATGGGCGAAGTCAAGAGTTGGTGCCTGGCCTGTGTGGCTCACTGGTTGAGTGTTGACCTATGAACCAGGAGGTCATGTTTCCATTCCTGGTCAGGGCACATGCCTGGGTTGCAGGTTCGATCCCCAGTAGGAGGCGTGCAGGAGGCAGCCGATCAATGATTCTCTGTCATCGTTGAAGTTTCTCTCCCTCTGCCTTCCTCTTTGAAATTTAAAAAAAAAAAAAAAGCCGGTCTCAGGTGGTGAACACAAATGCAATATACAGATGATGTCTTATAGAATTGTACCCCTGAACCCTATATAATTTTATTAACCAGTGTCACCCCAATAAATTAAATTTTTTTTTAAAAGTTGTTCTCAAGTGACAGGTGAGGTTGGAGATGGAGTGGGACCGTCAAGGCAGGGTGCGGGAGAGCAACCGTTGAACCTGTTTTTGAGTCAAGGGACTTCTTGGGAATTTGATGACAACCATAGACCCTCTCCCCATGGTGACATACCTGGGCACACCTAACCAATGCCGAGCGTTCGCCTGGGCCGGGCACCTGTGCTGGGCCCCAAGGAGCAATAGTTAGCATGGCCAGGCTGGCCTAGGCGCGGAGCTTGGAGAAGTAAACTTCAGAATCACCCTGGCGGTTACTCACAGGTTGGAGGACGGATAATGGGGGGACACCAGCTCCAGGAGGGGTGGACTGAGGGAGAGCTTAGGGGCACCGGGGGAGGGCGCAGAGGGAGGTCAGTGTGACGGGGACCAGCAGGACTGAGGCAACTCGTGGTTCAGGAGACCCAGGAGGAGTTTGGGTTTGAGGTTCCCTGCAGGTGTGTGAACCTCCCAAAGTCCATGCTCACCGGCCATCGGGTCCTGCCCTCAGTCCTTCCCAGGCTGACCTTGAACCTCACGGCTGCCCTGAACGGATCTCCTGGCCTGTTAACCTGCCGTTCTCTTTCCTTCCTCTTCCCCCAAGGATTTGGAAGGAGGGCCGCCCTCTAAAAAGATGAAACTGGAGACGTCGCAACAAAACTCCGAAGAGATGTAGACGCTCGGGGCTCAGGCTCCGGTCCACGTTTCCCGGGAGATCCGTCAGCAGGCTTACTTCTACGACTTCCCCGAGCGAGCGAGCCCTCGGGTTAGAACGACTGACTTTCCCAAGTTTACCAAGTGCAAATCCAAGAGAACCTAGAACGGCGTGACTTCTCAGACACTGAAGAACTTTCTGCTGTGAAGCAAAACCCTCGAATCTTGAAGTGACTGTCCTTGTGGAGGTGGGTCGACAGCTCAGGAGTGTCAGACACTGTCTCTGAAGCCAAGATTACATTTGCGTTGCTGCTGTATTGTTTTTCGCCCCACTTCTCTCTCTAACGACATAAGCTATCTGAGGGTGGTGCCCATCAGGAATTCACGTTTCGGGGCTTTCCACTGTCCCACCGACTCCTCCCGCTTTCTTTTTGTGTGCCTTGTGCCCTTGAGGTGACCTCCGGCATGTTCTCCCAGTTGTTTTGCATCTCCCTTTGCAAAGCGCCCTCTCGGCTTTGTTGAGGCTGCCACTGCCCCGGCCGGCCAGCCCTCATGTCACGCTCCTCCCTGTCCCAGGACTTCAGTGGGAACAGAGCAGGCAGGGAGGGGGAGAGCCCGAGGCTGCAGAGGAGTAGGACCTTCGGCCACCTGCCCAGCCTCCACGGTCCGGTCTGAGGAGTCTCAGGTGTCAGGGCACTGTCCCCCGAGCGCTGGCCACCCGATACGCTTTCTCCGGACATCTGAACCTGGCGTTTCCAAGTGGCCCAAATGGACACACAGAGCCCCTAGATCCTTCTGCCACTTCCACCCTCTGCCCCCACCATACCGCCTCCTCCCACGCCTCCGAAGACGGGGTGGCTTCTGTGGCTGACTGCAGGATCGTCTCGAGGTGACAGAAAGGCCGCGGAGGCCGGGAGCAGGCAGCAGGAGTAGCTGGTGCTCTCAAAGGATTTCACATCCACAGTAATCTGCTGCCCTCTGCCTTCCCCAGGCCCTCTAGCCCCACCCGGGGGAAGGGGGTCAAGATTGCAATCCAGGAAACCCACTTGCTTCAGCATAATGTTCCTGACACCACCGAGCCAACAGATGGATCCTGTCTTATTCCCAGGGTACCCTGCGGTCGGTCCCCCCACGGAGCGGGCCTTGATGGTTCAGCCTTGAAGGCCAGAAGGGAGGCACCAAGGAGCAAGCTTTGCCCTCCAAGAAGGGGCGATCGAATCCCTGCCTCCATCCCTGCCCGCCTGGGGCAGCTGCTTCTCACTAAAACGAAGCTGCCCCCTTGGACCAGCTGCCGGAGTGTTTGGTTCTGAGGCCTAGTTGCTCTTCGTTCCTCTATGGACTCCTCAGACCCCAGCCCTGTTCCCAAGCTTTCTTTCCTGCACTGGAGTTCCAACTCCCTTTGAGCTGTGTGTGGTGGGGGGGAGGGGGAGGGAGGAAGGGTTGCGAGGTTTTGTTGGTTGTTTTCTGTTTTGTTTTATTTTGCTAACTGGTGCATATTCAGGTACCACCTTTGACATGGGGATCTCTCTCCTGCCACCGTGGGAAGTATCTGCCAGATTCCACTTTCTAAGAGTTTCTGAGGGTGGGGCTCTTACTTTCGTTTTTTTGTCAGGGAGCCCATCCATTTCCTGCTCTTCAAGAAGAATCAAAATGTTCCTGAATCTCAAATACCTCATGCAAAAACGTCTCCTGAGATCAGGGGAAACAAACACGCCAACTCTGGAGATCTCAATGTTGAAGTGAGCGGTGGTGGCCGAAAGGTTTCTGTCTTAAAAAAAAAAATCCTTATCAGTTTCCCGCCCTCAGGCGGTCAGTGCTCCGCAGACCGGCGCTCCTTCTCCGCGTTACCTCTCAGCACTCCAGGCGGCTTTACCTCCAGATCCTGAAGGGTTTGAATCACCTTTTCCTTTGCAGCAAAACTCCATTTTGATGAAAGACGAACTGGGATGTTTATTTCCTGCTCTTTTTTTGGGAACCGAGAGGTGACAACCAAGACAGCTGAAGGAGAGTCACGCACACACTTGCACACGCATGTCCATCGGCCAGGGTCCCCTGCCGGCCCCGCGGACAGGCCAGGCGAGTCCACATGGTGGGGAATGAGGACGCCGTCCACGACACCGAGGCTGTCATTCGTTTTTCTTTGAAGTGCCTGAAGGTAGGGGTGGGCCGATGGCCTGGGAGCCACCTGGCCCCACCGCGGCCACGGCCACGCCAGGCGACGTGCCAGCGAGCCCCGCACTTGATGCTGGTCCAGAGGAGACTGCAAAATCCAGATGTGCTTCCTTCCCAGCAGCCCGCTCCCCGGAGCCGCTGTCCCCCTGCCCACCCCGCGCCACGCCCTCTCCCACCTTGCAGCTGGCCCAGCCAGGACGGGGGCCCTAAGCGAATGCCTTCCTTCCGCGGACACCAGGCCCCATGGCCTAAAGGGCTCCCCGGGCAAACCCGATCCCCCAGAAGCTGGGGAAGCTGTGGCTACACATTCCACAAAGTGCTGGCACTTACACCCTTACCCTGGAAGGCAGTCGGCTGACGCCGCGGGTGGTGACCTCCCATTTCCACCGACGTCGTGGCTTGGCACATTCATTACCGCCAAGGACCTGGTTAGAGGTATAAAGACCTTTTTTTCACGTTACCTGATTTTTTGTTGTTGTTTTCTCTTACGATTTTTTTTTCCGGTGTGTTGTACAGCAGTATAATTTTTCACTTATTTATTCCATCAGTAGATATGGTTTGTACAATGTACAATGGTTCCATTTCAGAAAGTAAAAATAAAAAAAATTCGGATCACGAACAACACCGTGTGGTTTTGGTAACATTGTAATAAAGAGTAAAATCCAATTGATGGTGAGAATGTCCCTCAGCCCCTGTTCTGGCCTCCCGCACGGCTGTGCAGCCCTGACGTGGTACAGGACACCGTAAGCTTGCACACAGGAGCTGGGGTCTCCCACAGTCATGCCAGCTGCCATCATTAGGCACCAGGGGGTGCTGTGGGCAGGTGTTGAGGCCACCCTACCTCGGGGAGGCAACATCAGGACTGTCTCATGCATGAGTCATGCAGCCAATCAGAGTCCCAGTTTAGAAGCCACACCTG